CAGCCGCCGCGGGCACACACACACACACAATCTCACACACACAATCTCACACACACACACACATACACGTGATTAAGGATTTAGACCAAATTGGGATATCTACACCCAAAAAAATGTGTTCTCAATTCATGTAATTGCTCTTAAAATTTTGAGCCCCGTTTCTTGTTTTAAGGAACAAATATAGGACTTTTAAAACAAGAAATGGGGCTCAAAATTTTAAGAGCAATACTTGAATTGAGAACACATTTTTTTGGGTGCACTTTTCATATTTTACAACCTTGTGATTAGCAGCAGCCAATAATACTTACGTGGTTCATAGTTTTATTGGTAAGGTTTACTATAATTTGGCCCACCAACTCTGAGATTTCTTTCAATGCCAAGGGAAATCGATTAGAGTAATGCTCATCAAAATGTTCCTTAATGCTCTCAGTGAAAATGGCATACATTTCAGTTGCGACCTGAGTGACACATTTCTCTGATGGTTCTCGCACAGTGCTTATGAGTGGTTTCATCAGCACCTTAAATGCCGAATCAGACGTAATAAACAGAGGTTTCTCCGGTCCACTGGTCTGCTTGATGGTTAAGAGAACTCGATCATGCCAATATTTTTCCCAAGGCTTCAAAGACTCCAGCGACTTTTCACATTCTTCAAAAAGATCGCCAATTTTTGCCTCCCCTTTCCTAAAAGAAGAGAAATACACACTGTTAGGTGTTGCCGCATATTATTCTCTCTAGAGCAGGAAAGCGTTTTCATAAGTTTGGGCCGGGTAAATTTATGTGGTCGGAAGTGCCCGACAGTGTGGAGCCGATGGTGAGAAATGCAGCGCGGATTAAGGGGGGGGGGGGCGCTTATTCCGCCACTGGAGAAATGACATGTTGAAACGATATACAGTGTAGTCAATAGACCCCTTGCTTATACTGTACCGCATGCCGGCGTGGGGGTGGGCTTGCCTACCTTCACTCACCACGGCGCCTTATGCCCTCGTGTGACTATGCAACCCGTCCGCACGCAGTACAGCATAAGTATAAGCAAAACAAAGGATGGGGTCTGAGGACCACCCTGCCTGTAGAGCAATGACGATTTGATCATTAAGGCGTCGAAACAACGACGTTTCGATTTCGTTTTGATTGCTATTTCTACCTGAAGACTCTTAAGGTCCAAGTATTTCTGTCATTTTTGGGAACATGGACAAAGTAGATAAACCTAACAAATCTTGCACATTACTGCCTTCAAACACGCCGCAACGACCCATCTCAGTGAGAATTTTTTTCGGCAATTTCGTTTCGACATCGGTATTCTCGTTGTTAGTGATACAAAAGTGGGACTAAAATAGGCAGCTTTTCTCAATGTCGACTTGTCGTCTTTCGAAAAGCTGTCGATTTCAGGCCTACAAGGCCTACACTGCCGACGCGAGCGCGTACGCTATAGCTAATTTGAGGCACTTCACTGTGCCTTATATTAGCTAAAGCATAGCAGTCAGCAGTCTTGAACTTATTCATTGGTCACTGTAGTGCGGACACTGTAATTGAAACGCCTACTTACAGAAGCATGGATGTAGATTCCGTATCTACACATTCTCCTTTCATCTTCTCTTTGTACAACTGGACAACAGCGCTTATTAAATAATGGAAACATGTGCTATTGTCTATTCTTTCTCCATACTTTTTAAGTGTATCTTTGCACTCCTTAAGCCGTTGTTCTAAGGAAGCCTGAAAAAAAGGTTGTAAGAACAGTTTATTTTGTTGTTTTTAGGGTTCTGATCTAACATTAAACTCGTTCGATAGCGGTACAGGATGTTTCTATGAAAGCTCTTGACTCTGACGTGATTGCCTGAGTCATTCCAAACATGATTTATTTAAATTACAGTGACCCATTTGGACTTTTGAAAAAAAAAAGTCCGCTGTTGAAGACCTTTACCGAAGTACACTTCCCTGAATTTTGGGGGCCCTCATCAGGCTAAAATTTTATTGGGTGCAGGTCAGCCATCCAAGCTGGCTAAAGCGCATGATAATAAAATGCAATTTTATCTTAGGGATGTAAGGGGTTTAAAGACGACCATTCTGCGGCTGTATTCGGATTCCTGGGGGCATTTCATGTCTCGGCTGTTGGTCCAGTCGCCTCCCGGAGCATCACACAGCCCCGACCGGGACGTTCTTTCAAAATTGCAGTGAAAACGTCTCAAAACACTTAAATTGCCAGTACTTCCGGAACCCGATGAGCTACGGCGTTCAGAAAAAATCAGGGCAATGTATCTCGTGATATATCAATAGGGAATAGCAATTGTGTCAAAATACCAGGTGGCTGATTAACTCACTTCTGTAGTTATGCTGTACCGCACAAGTGCGGGTGGGCTTGCCTATCGCTCCTGTCCACGGCGCCTTACGAGCCGAGTGAGTAGGCAACCCGCCCGCACTCGTGCTGCGGTACAGCGTAACTACAGAAGTGAGCGGGGTTAATCACCCCCATGGTATAAACAACCCAAAAGAGTCACTGGAATTCAAATAAATCATTTTTGGAATGACTGCCTTAACTCGTGCAGAAGCAGAGCACCATGGCGCTTTATGGTCAGAGAGATTAGGCAAACTTGCAAACACGTGCAAACAGCAGTCGGTACAGAGCTAGTTGACACTGCCTCGCGTGTCTTCTTATGGAACTTACTCTTATATCAGGAAGACAGGTGTTGATGTGATTAATAAGTAAAGTTTGTAATCTTTTTGCCAGATATGCAGTCCCATTTATGTGAGCCAGTGATGGGTATGTTTCCTGCAGGAAATCCTCTTCATCATAAATAGCATCTTTAATACTCTGAAATAAGAAAAAGGAACTCATATGAAAAATGAGCTGAGATAAGCGATGATAGTTAATGTTGTTTCTCTCCTACTTCATTTTCGCTGGGAGATGCCCATAAGTCGGAACACTGCAAACCCAACAGTTTACTTAGTACACACAAGGAAGAGTGTACTTCCATAGTACACACCCACAAGTCAACACATGAGAATAACAAGCTCACCCCCAGCGACTGTTTAGAAAATCCGCTTCTCCTCTCGCGATCGTCTGGAAAATCACTCACCTCTGCAGACTGTTTGGAAAACCGCTTAAATTACTTTTTAGCAGATGATACTTCCAGTATCACTGCTTGTACAACAC